CCATGATTTAAAGTCTTACGCTAACTGTGACAAAAATGCCTTCCGAGCAAACCTTGCACTGATAACGTTGAAGCGCATTTTTGGACAGTTTGACGGACGAACTTTCCATACAATCTTCAATAGTTTCATCCGTTCTCATTTAGAGTACGGAAACATAGTACTCCCTCCCTCCCTCACTCCAAAAGGACAAGGTCACCTTGGAGCGTATCCAACGTCGAGCCACGAAATCAGTTCGAGGACTCAAATCTAAACCTTACGAAGAACGCCTCCATTCATTATACGTTTACCCATTAGAGTATAGGCGTCTTAGAGGTGATTTATTAATGGCTTATAGTATTCTTAACACTTCTGGACATCCTCTTAAACACCTACTTAAGCTTAGTTCGAATAATAACCTAAGGGGTAACACCCAGAAACTGGAAACACAACATAGCAAGACGGAACGTAGACACAACTTCTACTCCTTAAGAGTTGTCAAAATCTGGAATTCGCTGCCAGCCGAGCTAGTCCAAGCGACTTCTCAGGAGTCCTTCAAGAGGCAACTTGACCTATTCTTAAGGACCAAGGACAGCATCACACTATGATTTACCAATTTCTTTTCCTCTTTTATTGTTAACATACCTAGATTCCTGCCTGGAGGATTTGGTGATTCCGTGCTACTAGACACGGAAGCCTGTTAAGCGAAAGCTTCTTCTATTCCGTCCACAACCATTTGAACAGTTTGTTACATGAGGCATGCCAGTTTACAGGCAAGATCAAAGTTTTACAAATGATAGAATATCCACTGTAGTAAATTACTCAGCTGGGTTGATAATTTAAAAGATATGAATGTAGATATCTACATTCACATGGTTTTAGTCAGTATCACTGTTGGCGCGCTTCATGAAAGTCGCGTTGCGAATGTGCGACTGATGGTCAAGGATAGGTCCATTGAAAATATGAGCTTCTAGAAATCGCAACCTTACGTCCCCTTGGAATATCCAAGGCTTTAAGGATGGTACAGGATGAATTCACCCGTTTCATGTCTCAAGGGGGCTGAAAGAGGAAACAGGTAAAAGAAAAGACGAGAGGCAGAGTAGCCAATATTCATGAAGGAATGTTTAAGGTATGATTACTCAGTCTAATTTTCTTTTATTGAGGTATTTGTTAAGCAAGAGCATTTTAATAGGTTAAAGAAAATAAGTGTAAACAAGGTATGAGTGGACATACAACTTGTGGAGATAGGCCTGACAACCTTATTTTGTAAATGGTTTTCAATGTTATTTGTATATTTTTTGTCAATTTCTCACCGCATGTACATTTATCACTAAATGATTGTACCTGTTGTTTTAGTAAATGACCTTGAACACTTTTTCCGTTGTGATACTAACATAGCGTGACACACTTTTGGTTGTTCGCAAATACACTGCTACACACACACGCTCCTTGTTCTATTCTCACGCGTTATCGAGCTAATCGCATTCTAAATCGAGTATTATCCACATTTTAGACTGCTGTGCCATTTCTATTACATACTACGTCAAAGGAACTTACTGGAGTCATATTTACCTCATTGGAGTTATTACTCATAAATAATTGTGGATTTTTGGGACCAAAACTCAACGGAATACGCAACAACTAGCTGATTTAAGTAACGTCCCTGAACTTTTATTTTGTGTTACTAATTTATAAATTGTTATTGTTACATTAACTTTTGGACGTAATAACTTTATCGCTAATTTTTGGTTATTATACTTTTGGTCCACCACAATTATTTGGTGAGCCCGACGTGATTCGAACACGCAGCCTTCCGTAATAGGGCGTGGGTTCGAATCCCACCTCCGCCACCAAAATAATTGTGGTGGACCAAAAGTATAATAACCAAAAATTAGCGATAAAGTTATTACGTCCAAAAGTTAATGCAACAATAACAATTTATAAATTAGTAACACAAAATAAAAGTTCAGGGACGTTACTTAAATCAGCTAGTTGTTGCGTATTCCGTTGAGTTTTGGTCCCAAAAATCCACAATTATTTATGAGTAATAACTCCAATGAGGTAAATATGACTCCAGTAAGTTCCTTTGACGTAGTATGTAATAGAAATGGCACAGCAGTCTAAAATGTGGATAATACTCGATTTAGAATGCGATTAGCTCGATAACGCGTGAGAATAGAACAAGGAGCGTGTGTGTGTAGCAGTGTATTTGCGAACAACCAAAAGTGTGTCACGCTATGTTAGTATCACAACGGAAAAAGTGTTCAAGGTCATTTACTAAAACAACAGGTACAATCATTTAGTGATAAATGTACATGCGGTGAGAAATTGACAAAAAATATACAAATAACATTGAAAACCATTTACAAAGTAAGGCTGTCAGGCCTATCTCCACAAACTAACAAATGGAGGGGATTCAGAAAGGAGCTGAAAGTATGAGATTATGTGTGGTCATAAAATATAGTGCTAAAAACAGTTATTGTGATATACAATTGACTGTCTTCCTTTTTTATCGATGCTGTTGGAGCTCTTTTCACCTTTTTTGTATTATTATTTTTTTAACTTTTAGTTTATTATTTTAAGTTTTAGGTATCATAGGATCTTGAGTAGACTTCGTATATTATCGAGTTATCTAGTTTGCTTGTAATAGGATTACTAGGTAGGAAGTGAAACCAATTCAACGTTCATAACACGATTTAATGAGGTATTTTGCATGATAAATCAGCATTAATACCTTAAGTTCGTAACATGCCAGTAGACCATAAGGAGCCGTAATTAAACAAAATGTTCTGCCCTACAAACATGGGTGGATTGAAGTTATCTCCCCACCATCATGTTTACTGGTCAGTAACGCCACCCTCCCTTCTTATATTGTCTTAATCAGGAGCCAGCTTTAACACTGGGAAGTTGCTGGAGAATATCAGCGACTAACGAACCACGAAAACGACATTAAACTAGTTCAGTTCGTTGGTCAAGACAGATTCGACGTTCAAGTAATCCAAAGTAAAGTGCGTTCTGGTTCCAAGACCTCAACATCACTGCACAAAAAATCACTGAAATAAAAGTCTGAAGTGCCTCCGTCCAGATGTTGGCATTGTGGTGGTTGGTATTTTGCAAGGTTCCATCCGTTTAAACACCATTACTGAAGGTAATCTTACACTGTTGGACATAGAGAGACTTATTGCAAGCAGCGAAATAACCACCGGGAGTGAAATTTCCGAAGAAGGTACAGATCAAATATAAAGCCATTTAAATCATTTACTGTATCTTTGGTAAATCAAGTACATGAAAGACCGGTTAGGAAGTTTACTGAAGTTCTGACAAATGGCTATTTGATAAAATTAATATTGGATAACGCTTAAGGCACGACCATCCTCTCCAGAAGAGCGTAGGCCAAAAGAAGAAAGCTCAGTCTGCAGCCTACAAGCCAGTCTGTAGTGAGCGCAACAGGTGATAAAATGAAGCTTATTGGAGTTCTGTCATGCTCAGTAACACTTAAAGATGTGACTATAAGTGTAATATGTTACATATCAGACGATAACCTAGATTTATTCAGCTTAGACTCGTTTTTTACGGATTCAAGATTCCAGATATCCCATTGCGAAACGTAGGTAATAGAATTGTAAGTAAAGATAAGGAGCAGTGGTATCTCACAAACACTTTGCAGAAGGTTTAGAGCATTGCACAGCAACGAATGTATATCTCTACTTGAAGAAAGTGTTAATCCAGTGTTTCCGCCGCAAATACCAGTTCCATATGCATCATTACCAGGTTTACACGAAGAACTCCAACGTCTAGAAAAACATGGTGTATTATTTATTTATTTGAACACATGAATATTGGTACAAGAGAGCGCCAATATATATGCGCCACACAAAACAATGAGAATTCGAAGAGAAATAGAAAAAAAAGCTAAGGAGCGCAAAAAAAGAGAACAATAACGAGGAGATTGGTGTAAGGTAGTATGGTAGAAATGAGGGAACGGAAAGGTACAAATAGAAGAAATCTTTCAGGTATGGTGTTCTATCATCAGTTTCATTCTCATCTTCAGCAACTTTCCTAGTGGTCATAAAGAAACTAAATGGTACAGTATGGATCTGTGCAGACTCCTTAACTGGATTAAATGCTGTGCTAGAACAATATCATTATATTTTGCCCACTGCAGATGATCTTCTTACGATCTTAAGTAGTGAAAACTGCTTTGAAAAACTAGATCTACCCGAAGCCTATCTATAAGTAGAGGTAAACTCTTCATGACGTAAACTAATGATAATAGGCATACATCGAGTTTAATCGACTTCCTTCCGGAGTAAAGAAAGCACCGCTATATGAAGCTTTGGTGACATTCTGGAGAAGTAACATTAAAATCCCAAAACTTCTCTAGGTCTAGGGAAAATCCTCAATATATTTCCAGAATCTTATGACACATTGACTTTTTTCTGGGAAATGTTCTCAAACTTTGTGGAAAGCTATCATATTTTTCTTACGAGTCTGAAAATAACCCCAAAATACGGAGATTGGAAGTAAGTTGATAAAGGATGTAGGAGAATTACTAAAGGCAATCTATCCTATTTGGAGAGGTTACGTAAAGATCGTTCAAATCCAATGGTTACTGCCTAAGTCCTGAAAATAATTGATTTGTAAAATAAATCGAAACAAGTTCATGATGCATACACACACACAAGGACCCATACAATGGTAATAATTCAAATATTGATTTTCTTTTGAATCATATGATATTGAATTTAACCAATGAATTTGAATTCTGTATTAAACGATTAACCCTGGAACATATTGAACAGTACACATGATAATTTACAATGTATCATATCGAGTTAATGGAACATTAAACAACGAACATAAAACACGTACTGATAAACAAATGTAATGACATTTCTTATTGATCCATTGTTGAAGTTATCAAATGTGACTTTCCATTATTCATGTCTGTTTTTCTGTATTGAGTATTTAAGTGATAACATGATTGACAACATCATATACACATAAATATTATCCAGAAGAAAATGGTACGTGAATCATTGTTGATTATTCAATTAATTATCAACTATTTCAACACTGTTTATACAAATTTGAATTATTGATATTAATATAGACTCACAACCAAACGGTTTTCCAGTGCTTCCAGGGGTGGTGATTAAGAATATCTCGAGTACTCAGAAGTTCAAACAAACGTTTACCAACGTAAATAACAGATGACAGAAATTATTCGAAAACCGTCAAACTTGTCAACTATACTGAACCTACTCTATTGAGTTAAGTCTTACTAGAATCGTCAATAGGCAAGTGTCAGAGAAGTCTGATCGATCCGATAGCCAGTAAACAGTGAATACTGCATTTGCGTTGCAACCGATATTCACAGTCGAATATAATTGATATTCGTATACAAATTACATTCTCATAATTTATTTGAATGTTTTGTTTATCTCAGTATTTCACCTAGTCATTTGATTTTTTCGTGATCTAGAGCACTTTGACTTTCGTGGAACTTATCACAGAGAATCGGTTACTCTTGCTTACTGCACTCATCGTTTCTTGGATAAGTTTCAAACTTTCACAGTTATTGTTGATCTATTTGAAATACACTGTTGGAGTATGGTGCTTTTCTAAACGGAAAACACTTCGTCAGGCTGGTGAATGGGCAGTTGTCACTGGTGCATCGTCAGGTATTGGTGAAGCGTATGCAGAAGAATTGGCCACAGAAGGTCTCAATATCATGCTTATCAGTAATGATGAGAAACAACTGTCATCCGTTGCTAAACGAATCGCAAATACCTACAATGTTCAAACACGAATTGTGGTTGCAGATTTCACTAAAGTAATATCCATTCTCAATGAATCTGTTAATCATATAATTTTAAATTATTGTCATTGACTTAAGTAATCAGTTCGATTTGTCACTCGGTAGTGTTTGAATAGATTGACAGAAGTTGTGCATCACTAGTTGCTTTATTCATGAATTGATAGATTGTTAGTCGAGTTATTACTGACACTTGAGTCATGTGGTCATGTCAAAATGATCATTAATGATAACATGCATTTGAATGTAGAAATGCCGTGACATACAATTTCATTCATTCAGTGAACAGATGCGAATGTGAAATAACTGTTTGCGAATAATACTCTTGTTCTGTTGATTTTCAGTTTACTGGTGTACAATTAAAGTTAAAACCGTGTTTCATAAGGAAAATATTTGTGTATAAGTATACAAATTAATTGTGTATTTGCTTGTAAATTGTCAGCGAAGTCCGAAATAAATACTTTGTCGTATTCAATAATACGTCAACTGAATGCTCCGGGATCCACGTTTTGATGTTTACTGTGAAATTTGAATTCGGTACATGTCACTGTAAATGATAAATCGTTGTATAGAGCGAAATATGGAATTTGAACAGTTTCTGATCTGTTCAAACGTCGCGTTGTTTGATCGTAGGTAATTGGATTCACTTCGTTGCTGATATTCAGGAATTCATTTGACCAATCTCCTTTCAACAGTATTCTGAAACTTGTATTAGAGGGTTAATACCAAAGCAGCATCCACACACGATGCACCCAAACTGTCAAACATTGATTGGATTTCGGTCGTGAATATTGGAGACGGAAAAACGCAGACATTTATTATCAATATATGGTATACTAGTTGAACAGATATCAGGATATTTGATCTCACACCCTCAGTGTATATCGCGTTGGCCATTGACAAACAGGGTAGAGAACTTGTCTCAGATTCATCTACAATTCACAATGTAAACGCATCAGAATAAATTGACATTTTTGAAATTTGATCAAATATTCAAACACTTAAACACTTAGGGAACATTCGAATGATCAACTTCCACCAATCTTGTGTTCTCTTTTGTTTAGAATGATGTTTATGAAATCATAAGACCTGCTGTTGACCAATTGTCCACAATTGCTTGTTTAGTTAACAATGTTGGTATGGTGTTACCGTTTGAGTTGTTTGCTGGAGAAGTTGATTCACCGAATGAAGAATCAATCAAAAATATCATTCATTGTAACATTTTATCTACACTGATAATGACAAGCATCATTCTGCCGAAAATGTTAACACAGAAAGGACCTAATCCTGGTATCATAAACATTTCATCTTATACAGCTTTAAAAGTGACGCCCTACTTGCCGATTTATCCTTCAACCAAAGCATTCATTATTCAATTCTCTAGATGTCTGGCTGCAGAAAAGTATAGAAAGAATGTGATTATACAAACGATGTATCCATTATTTGTATCTACAAATATGACCGATTTAAGAGAACCCACATATTTCACACCATCTGCTAAAGTCTATGCTAAAAGTGCATTGGATATGTTCGGTGTTGAACAACAAACCACTGGTTATTTTCCACATGAGTTAAAAGCATTTGTATACAATCTAATGCCAACATCATTGTGGGTAAAAATAATCGAACGTACGTTCACTCCAATCAGTAGACAATCGAAGAAGGTTGACTAACATGAATGTTGTTTTTCAACTTTCCTGAGAAACAGTAAAACCTATAAATGAACATTTCGAAAATTTTACGAATTTCTTTCCAATTAGTTAAATGTAATGATATAAATCCATTCTATACCGTAGTTTCTCATTAGCTGCTTACAACCAAATTGTTGTTAAATTTTACATTGAGGTATGACTTAGCGTGAAGCAATTGACATAAGTGAATAAAATGTATTGAAATGACAAACGTTATGAATAATCACTATATATATGTATGTGTGTGTGAGTGAAAGAACAGATCGGAGGTCATTTGGTGTTAGAAACAACAACAAAATCATGAGAGGTGAGTGATGTAATAACTCAATCAATTCAGATATAGATAATATAAATTGTGTGATAATTTTAGAAGTAATGAAGGGGTTGCATAATATTTCTGGAATTAATAAGAACTGGTAAGATGAGTTAGTTAGAGTCCGCGTGACTATTTTGACTAATGATTAGAGACTCTATGTGACATGGCTCAGAATCGATCACAATGGCGTAGGTGTATACACTCTTCGTCTTCCCTTGAACTATGAGATTAAAATCTTTCTACCAACTAATTCTTTCTTTCTGTACTATAACCCTTAAGCACAATCGTTCTTTTATATATTACCACCCTTAGAGTAACTACTTCTATGAATTTGGTGTTCATCTTGTGCTAATGTGGTATGTCAACTTGAACCGATACATATATGTGCCTGATCCTACATTGTAGCTGACTGACTGAATGGTAAGATAGTTTGCATAATAATTAAACAAGATTTGAGAAGTTCATATAATTTAAGAGAGTTGAGTAAATGGAAATGTTTAAGTGAAAGGGGGATGGTGCTGGTTTAAATGTACATAAAATAAGAATTGGACAACGGAAGAGCAACATAACACATATCTCATGTGTTTCAGCAATCGAAATAGAAGCAGTATTTCTTTGTCTACTAATTTTAAAATTTTGAGGAAAATCAATGGTATGCTCAGTGTTAAATAAATGCCAAGCTATTGTATTATTAACAGCCCTTACCCTCTCCCCACACACAGGCACACGCACACACACTCTCAGTTTCTTTGGTACATGTTCAGAAATGCAAACATGTATTCTTCTCTCGATTATTCCAATGTATATGCTTTACCACGTACATATAAATGTTCTTCATTACTGATTTTTTATTTTATGCATAATTGTGTATGACTCCTTCAGTCATACATTTCCACTCTGAGCTATATCACCAAGAGTCTCCAATCATTAGTCACGATAGTCACGCAAACCCCAACTAATCCATCTTACCTGTTCTTTTTAATTCCAGCAATATTATGCAAACCCTACATTACTTCTAAAATTATCACAAAATTTGTGTTATCTGTCTCTGAACTTGATTCAGTTACTACATCACCCACCCCTCATGATTATTTTGTTGTTGTTTCTAACACCAAATGACCTCCGACTTATTCTTACATATAAATCCATATATGGTGATTATTGAAAATCTTTGTCATTTCAATACATTTCACTCATTTATGTCAATTGTTTTACACTATATCTTATCTCAGTGTAAACGTTTAACATGTAGTTGGTTGTATAGAGTTAATGAGAAACTAAGATATCGGATGGATTCATATTATATTGTACCCATATTCATTTTGGCTTACGTTGAGTTCTTAGATTAAATCGTCGATTTCCTATTGCCTTAATAATTTGATATGTGTAACTCAAGCCAAGTCTTATATGTCGAGAAAATTATTTGAGAGAAAATAACAACTGATCCATTGAATAAGATCATGAACCGATTGATGTTACATCACCAGTGAAAACCTGGAGGCACTGGATGGCCGTTTCGTCGTATTTCAGGGCTTTTCAACAGTGTGCATTCACGATCCCGTCACGAACGATTCGAACTCAGGGCGTTCGGTTTCGCGTGAGAGACCGGTGCTTACAGATTTTCAATGATGATCTAACATCAATCAGTTTATGATCTCAATCAAAAACATAATAATCTCCACAACCCCATACTGATCCATTGATATGGAACTCTCAGGGAACAAAGTTCCATATAGTAAATATAAAGAACTAAAATATCCGACTGTCTTGTTTTTTTCTCCAGGATAATATTATTATACAGTAATTTTGTATCTTGTGACTGTCTAGATCTAGATTGATAACTTACATAAGATGGTTATAGTTATGAGAAAATTCCTATCTGTTTCACTTATAATAAACAAAGTCTATAGTGTAATCAATTTATTGCTCATTCATCAATTGAAAAGAAAGAAGCTTCAGCTGAAATTAAATTGATTCCTTTAATAGTAACTGGAAAATTGAAGTTAGACCACCAAAGAAAACCCGGAATCACTAGACGGTAATTTCGTCCTATTGTGGGACTCCTTATCAGTAGGCATCCACGAACTCGCCTCGCGAAGATTCGAGCCCAGGACTTATTAGTCTCAGGCACGAACGCTTAACCTCCAAATCACTGAGCCCCGATCCAACCGTGTTAATGCCTAACTTCAACTAATCCATGAAATTGAGCAACACATCCATCATTGGCATTAAAATGAAATATAGATTAGTAACCTGTGCACTAAAGAGAATTAAGCTATATAGATGTTTAAACCTTAACATTGTTTGCTAATCTAATATATGAAAGATCTTATACTGACATTGTTATAATACTTCTTATTCTATAAAATGTCTACAATGTATGTTTTCGATTTCATACTCAGTTGTTTTTTAGTTGTCAAGGGAACATTTTGTTTCCATGTGATTGTATTTTGTAAACTTCTTGATTATTATTGTGAGATTATTTTGATACTTGAAATTGTGTCATTCATTATGTATGTTTGTCAAATTGTATCAAATAAGATAAGACAAACTACATTCTCTCAGAATCCATTCAGTATTGTAATCCTAATGAACGCATGAGTGATTGTGAGATGCTTTATTTTCAGTATCAATGGTTTTCTTTTTTTTTCTAATCGATAAAGTGGGACAGTGATTAGTCACTGAAGTTTCTGTTTAATTTTGAGAAGTATGAAGAAAAGAGAAAGATAATTGCAGCTGACATAGATTGAGATAAAGATAGAAAGGCAGTTGGCGTGTCTACAATGATGATAATACAAGATTAGTTTGTGAATAAATATTTTGTAGTATATGATAATTTTGACAGCACTATAGAAGCTTGTTCGATACTGTGGCGTGCTTCAGGAGATAGTCAATATCATATGGAATTCCTACGATGGATTAAACTGCAAAATCTCGCATGGAGGACAGTTGACAAACTCGTTCGAGGTGATGACCGATGTCAGGCAAGGTTGCTTACTTTCACCCTTTTTTTTTCTCCTGGTGATCGACTATATTATGAAGACGTCAACCTCTGGGGTAAGCACGGAATACAGTGAAGAACTAGGATGCAGCTGGACGATCTAGACTTTTCAGATGATCTGACTCTTTTATGGCACACGCAACAACAAATGTAGGAGAAGACGACCAATGTAGCAGCAGCAGCCTCAGCAGCACTAGATCTCAACATACACAAAGGGAGAAGCGAGATTCTCCGACATAATGCAACGCGCACCCATCAAATCACACCTGACGGAGAAGCTTTGAAGGATGTATAAACCTCTACATATCTTGGCAGCATCATTGATGAACACGGTGGATCTGATGCAGATGTGAAGGCACGGATCGGCAAAGCAAGAGCAGCATATTTACAACTGAAGATTACCTAGAACTCAAAACAGCTGTCAACCAACACCAAAATCAGAATTTTCAATGCAAATTTCAAGACAGTTCTACTGTATGTGGCGGAAACTTGGCGAACTACGAAAACCATCATCTACAACATACAAGTGTTTATTCACAGTTGTCTACGCAGAATACTTCGGATCCGTTGGTCAGACACTACACTATCAGCAACAACCTACTGTGGGAGAGAACAAACCAGTGGAGGAAGAAATCAGCAAGAATCACTGGAAATGTATAGGACACACATTCAGGATAGCACCCAAATTTGTCACAAGACAAGCCCTGACATGAAATCCTCGAGGCCAAAAGAGAAGAGGAAGACCAAAAAACGAACTACACTGAGAAACTACTTTGAAGTTGTATAAAGTATGAGACTAATAACAGATTCACAATACACTGGTGTGAATGATAGTTGACAGTGTAATTGAATTGCTGTTGTCTGTTGGTGACCACTCACCATTACTATGTATCCTCATATTAGTAAGCAAAATATTTATTGACATAATATATAACATGTAATATTATATCTGACCTTTCACTTTGCCTATAGCTCTTTTAGAGTTACTGCAGTTCCCAAGCCCGGATAAAGGAGTAGGGTTGGACATGGGGTTAGCAACCCTATCCCGTAGAAAACTAACTTGTTAAAAACGCTAACCGGAAAAAAATAATTGAAATCATTTAAACTGTGCCCTGGGAGTTAGAAGGTCTTCATTTAGAAGAGTTATGACGCCTCATGGTGAAAGCCGAGTTCCATCGGAAGTCACGAGGCCAGTGCCCCTTCTAATAACCAGAGCAACAATTTTTATAGGTACATGGAACGTTCGAGTAATGTGGAAGATCAAGAGAATCAATCAAATAGAAACGGAAATGAGGAGATATTAATTGGCAGTACTAAGAATCAACGAAACCCATTGGACCGAGGCTAAACAGCAAAGGTTAGATACGGAAAAGATGTTGCTATACTCCAAGCACGAAGAGAATAATGCTCCATACACTCAGGTATCAGCTCTAATACTATTCAAAGAAGCACTATATTGCACTTGTAGAATGGGAATCTCACGAATCTAAAATCATCAAAGCACATTATTCTGGTGGGTTGGCCTATGTTCCTCCACGAGGAGTAAGTAAGTAAGTTTAGTACATTTTTAATTGCGTTATATTACATAATCATTCACATGGTCAATAACCTAATCTTATTCATTTCAAATTCTTCGTTTTATATATATTTTTAGAATGGTACATATGATATAATAAGACCTGCTATTGATCAATTATCTACAATTGCTTGTTTAGTGAATAATGTTGGTATGGGATTACCATTAGAGTTATTTACTGGAGAAATGGATTCACCAAATGAAGAATCAATTAGAAATATCATTCATTGTAACATTTTGTCTACAGTAATGATGACAAGTATCATTCTACCCAAGATGTTAACACAGAAAGGACCTAATCCTGGTATTATAAACCTTGCATCTTATTCAGCACTTAGAACAACTCCATATTTAACTGTATATTCTTCAACAAAAGCGTTTATCATACAATTTTGTAAATGTTTATCTGCTGAGACATATCGAAAGAATGTGATTATACAGACATTATGTCCATTAACTATCTATACATCAATGACTAAACATGAAAAACCATCTTATTTTAATCCATCTGCTAAGTCATTTGTTCATAGTGCATTAAATATGTATGGTGTAGTACAACAGACTACTGGTTATATATTACATGAATATAAAGCTTATTTCTTTGATTTATTACCAACATCATTGTGGATATTATTGACATATGCTAGAGTGAATGCACGTAAGAAATATGTATAATGGTATAGTATGATATGATATTGTTCCGATAAACATAATGAATGGTAACTTTTGAGATCCTATTGATAGGCCAATACTGTGCGTATATTTTTTTATCACAGCCACTTTTGGTTAAATCTTGTACAAATGTTGTTTCCTATTTTTATTGGTACGATATGGTCTGTCTGGTTAGTATATAAATTCAGTATGTTTGAAATAAATGATTCATATTGCAGAGGCTGAGATTGGTGTTCTGGACTTAACTGGCTGGGCTAGGCACAAAGCAGGGCCAATAAGGACTCTAGATTGCTCTCACGGGTTTTATGCGTCGTTAATGCGGTCGATAATTCGCTGCTTCTGATTGGCGGCTTTGGGCTATAACAGATATAATACATTATCATTCTATTACAAGTGATACTTTATGATGGTTGATTAATATGAAATCTGTTTAGTTCTGATAGATATTTGTAATGATGAGATTTAGTTTGTTGTTGCCGTTGTTCTTTTTGAATGTAGAATTTGTCAAATAAACAATTAACCTTTATTGACTACATTATCACTAGGTATGTAAATATATATGCCCTTAAACGCAATGGTACGACAGAGGATGGAAATAGTCAACTCTACCTTTGGAAATCGTCTCATATGGTAAAGGGTACACAGCTACTAACAGGGAAGTCCTATTTACTGTCTTCTTGAGATGAGGGTGTTGCTTATGAAGTTGTGAGAAGAAAAACCGAATGTCCAACTTTGTAACCAGGTAAGGGAATATGGAATATCTGCACGGTGGAATTGGAAAACCCTGATTACAAACCAATGGTGCACATGGACTCCAGGATATTAAAGAAATAAGTGGCGTATGAGCCAGTTGTTGGTCATCGGCTACCACGCGATTGTATCTCCTGACTTTGCTTCACTGCCTTGTGGATCAGACGCTTAGTTCAAAGGCTCCAGGTGCGGTATTTAAAGAAAACCACCTGCTTCGGTTAAGGCACCCTTGCAGTATCCTAGCCCTCACAAAAATTAAATGATTTATATGGTGCATATGTATCAGTCTAGAATTGTGAAGATTGTTGAGTTTTTATTGCGATTATGAATCGGAAACTGTTAGACAACCCTTAAAAGCTTTTATCATTGAATTGCCATTTCGTCTTGGTATGTCATGGATTCACTGAAGTTAGATTTTAACATTGTTTGATGCCAGCTCAGCGGTCTAGAGGTTAAGCGTTCGCGTGTGACTGAAGGTCCTCAGTTTAAGTTACTCGTGCAGGGTTATGGATTCGCATTCCAGTGGACCCCATAATAGGATGAAATGGCCGTCCAGTGCACCCAAGAACAATCTGAATTGAAATTGGAGTTATCCAATTCATGAATTTTTACTTCATCACCATGTTTACGTTTTGCAAATCAAATAGTTATTTAAATCAAGAATCTTCATCATCTGACTATTCATCTTCTAAATTATGATACTCGTAGATGATTATTAGTCATATTTTGAAGGTAAAACTGTTATTCTGATGATGTTTTACATACTGAATGAGTTTGAAGTATGCTAGGTTTGAAGAATTACTTAAACCTTCGAGAATTTCGTGAATGTTCTGCATTATGCCATTGACGCATTTTTCTGGCTCTTCCAGATTACTTGGACTCACTCATGTGTTAGCACCCTTTAAAGTTCTAACGGAATGTTCTTACAAACCATTGAACTGAGAGTAGCTTGCACCTGTAAATAGGTGACAATAATCAATATCATTTGGCTAGTTGTTAACATATTTTCCTGTGGAACAGGTTTCATTACCAGTTACTAATCCATTCTGTATTCCTTCACGACTGAATATATCATTCATCGCTCGTTGAGTAAATTTTCCACTAGGAATGTTCATCACTACCACTTCTAAACATTTCGAATTTCAGTTAACAGCAAATAAAGGATTAGCCGCAGTAATGTGCATGAATACATCGGCACTATGTATAAGATGAAGGTCAATGATTTCAAGTAGTCTTGTTGTATGACAATTTGTTCGGAACAAACAGAACAGATTTTCAATTTACAACTTACTTCAGCATCAATCTTAGGCCTCCAAAGTGTCTGACAAGTAAGTGATTTTATTTTTCCTGCTCACAGACGGACTAAGTGAAGGTCTACTATTGAAGATCTAGGTGTACGTTGGGGGTTGAATACCCTGTCAATCACTGACCCTACACCTATGACTCTTTTATAAAACTCGGAAAACCTACGCTTGCACTGAATATTTCAACCTCTTTTCACCACACTTATAACACTTCCAAAAAAGAAGGAACGAATTGAGCGAAGAAATTTCTTTTCAATTAGTTTTTCATCATGGCTCTACACTAATATATATACGTTTTACAATAATAATATAATACTCATCGAGTGGATACGTTACGTAATAATTACATAATGACATTTAAATTAACATTCAGTAATTGGAAGAGAGAGGATTATTAATAGTCAAAGTAATCAAGAAGTTGCGTAATATAAGAAACAAAGAAGTAATAGAATTTTACCGGATGGTCAACAGGATAGTAGTTACGTAAGAATCAAGAGATGAATGTTGAGAAGTTATAAGGCTCAAAAGCGATAGAAACAAAATTACAAAAATTTTAAAATTAAAATAAAAATGGGAGAAGTATGAAAAATAGTTCTTCTGACGGAAATGTTATACTGAAGGCCAGGGTAGAGAAAGTGGTTGTACGAATTTCTTTTGGATGCAAAGGTCAGGTTTGTGGACATGGGTTGCGATGGCTTCCGCAATGTGCAAAAGACGCACTCGTAAACCATGTGGTAGATCTGATGGAATATTATAGATAACCTTAAAAGCTTTATTCACTTCGACTTGATGACCTGTGTCAACCAAGTGAGAGAGAATAGAACTTTTAATCCCTTTCACCTGTCCTTTGCTTAGCCATGTTGGATGATGTTCTGTAATGCGGTGACGGACCTGTCGAATTGTACGCCCCATGTAACTGGCTCCACAGGAGCAGTTGAAACGATAGATACACATAGATTTGGCGAATTCTGGCAGTCTATCTTTAATGGATGTTCTTATTTTCGCATGGTTATAGAAGATGACATTTAATTTGGCAGCATTAAATGTTTTTTGTACCGCTCTTCTTAGTTTCTGAGTCATGACTTCTTCAATGGAGTCATTTATGAATTGTAGTTTTATGAATAATACCTTCTTGTGGACAGTTGGTATTTTTGTCCTTGTTTTCTTCTCCGTCATGTGTTTTTCGATGAATTTCATTGGGTACCCATTCGGACTGAGTAGGTTCCGAATATTGTTCAATTCATATTCAATAGTGTCTTCAGAACAGATCATTCCAGCACGATGTGTCAAGATCTTTATTAAGTTCCTTTTGTATCTGATTGGAACTGCACTGTGAAAATGAGTGTATTGACCAGCTGCTGACTTTCTGTGTACTGTTCTTTTTATAGTTCCGTCTGTTCTTCTAGTTAGTTGGACATCTAGAAAAGATATGCTATTATTTTGTTCATCTTCTGATGTAAAGTTAATTGGTGGGTGAACGTTATTAAATATATTAAGTAAATTGTGCTTATCATTTTCTTTTTCTAATACTATGAAGGTATCATCTATATAGCGATAATAAGTTGGTAAATAAGTAATTGTACTTTTAAGTGGTCCATTTTCCAGTTTTGCAAGGAAAATATTAACCAGTAGAGGGCCTAATGGTGATCCCATGGCGACTCCATCTAGTTGTCTATAGTATTCATTGTCAAATCTGAATTGGACGTTCATAGTGCATCTAAGAATTAACTGTTTTATCGCGCATGCGGGAATCGGGGTTTCTATGCGTCTCGCCGTTAGTTCATTGCAAATAAATTCAACCGTTTCGAGTAGTGGAATATTAGTGAATAATGATGATACGTTAAGTGGTAAAAAATATCAATGAGAGAATTTACGCTGTAGAAGACCTCCCAGATAAATTAAGGGAACAATATCTGGACTATGTCGAGATGGTTGTTAACTCAAGAAAAGAATGAAACTTAAGAAAAATGTAGACAAACAAATTCCAGAAATGAAATTTCCATCTAATCCAGATCAGTACGTACACAATTTCTCTAGTGTTATACTGGACAAAACTGCGTTAGAAGCGTTATCATTAGGCCCTAAGTTTTATGACTTTAAGAAAACAGTCAATAAAATGGACGTTGAAATTCAATTCGAAAATCTTTATGCTCAAACGTCAGAACTTGTAACTTCATCAAAAGATAATGTCGAAAGATTTAAATCAACACTAGTCGACTGTTGTTTTAAATACGTAAATCATAGACATAACACGAAAGGGATTTTGACGAAAAAACATATAGAAGCTCTAAGAAAACTTAAAACTAATGACAATTTATTAATCACGAAACCGGACAAAGGACATGGGATAGTACTCATGGATAAAAATGACTACATAAACAAAATGAAAGCCCTTTTAAATGATAAAAGCAAATTTCAGAAACTGGCTGTGAAGAACGACGTAGCAGACAAGATTGAAAAACAACTAACTGGTTCACTGAAAGAAATTAAACAACAAGGTTTTATTTCAGAAAAGGTGTTCGAAATGTTGAAACCTACAGGAACGATGACACCAAGACTATATGGCTTACCGAAAATACACAAAAGTGGCTTACCCCTTCGACCAGTTTTAGATATGAATAATTCAGCGTATCACAATTTAGCAAAATGGTTGGTGCAAATTCTTCAACCATTACACAAAGAAATTGTCAGATATAGTGTCAAAGATTCCTTTGAATTTGTGGAGAACATAAAAAATCTATCAGTCAAGAATAAATTCATGATATCACTTAACGTATCATCATTATTCACTAATATTCCACTACTCGAAACGGTTGAATTTATTTGCAATGAACTAACGGCGAGACGCATAGAAACCCCGATTCCCGCATGCGCGATAAAACAGTTAATTCTTAGATGCACTATGAACGTCCAATTCAGATTTGACAATGAATACTATAGACAACTAGA